TGAAAATTATGATCAAATATCGTCGTCAAAGAACCTTGATCATGTGACGAAAAGAGACGAGACGTAAATGTTGGTCATGTGACGATAATTAAAACTAAATATATAATCTAAAACAGTTGATGGATAAAAACAGACTGAATGTGGGTCACTGAATAAAAACTGATCAAACGTCTTTTTATTTTCACTGACGAAAAAGAGACGAAATCATTCAGTCGTGTTGTTTTTGTTTTCTGTTTCCTTGGCGACGTCACTTCCTCAATCCTCTAACTCGCCGTATTTTTAGATGAGGTGGTCGAAGACGTTTTTGGGAGAGTTGGAGTCATGGTCGAGTCGTCGGGGACAAAAATAAGAAATGATATCTAAACACACTTTAATCACAAAACGGGATGTGTGGAAAAAGAAAAAGGGAGAAATGCAACCGTCAAATAACCGAGAAAAAAACACAAATCTAAAAAGAGACATCTGAAGGTCGTCCACGATGGACTCGAGGAAAATTAAGACACTGATGGAACGACGCTTTATACTTTACACTCCCTAACCCTAAAAAGGTCCTCTCTGCACCTGTGCTGACCCTGGACCCTGGACCCTGGACCGGGTGTTAGATCAGTCCGCTCCTCTGAGTCTGTTTAATCATCGATTATCTCTGAGAACTTTCTGTCTCTCTGGTTTTCATGCTGAGAAAAACTGACTGAGTTAAACTGCTGGATGGTTTTTAGGCCAGCAGGGGGCGTCACAGCTCCTCCACAGCTCCTCTCAGAGGTCATTAAACTGATTTCTTTCCTCCGTGTTTTTCTCTGCAGATCTCTCGGTCAGGGAAAAACTCGGCGGCTGAGTTTCCTCTGGTTCCCTCTCTGCTGTCGGTCTCTGAGGAGGAGAAAATCCTGATGGCAGGTCGGAAACCTCTGAGAGTTTCTGCTTCAGTTCTTCTGAAAAAAAGAGAGAAAATAAAGTCAGTAAAAGAGGGTCTGGTCCTCTCTGTGGAGTCCTGATACTCAGACGGATCCAAACCTGGACTTTATTTTACTGCTTTAGTCTTTAAACTCAGAACCTTCTTCAGTCCGGCTCTGAGGGCTGAAAACCTCGTCATGTTTTTAAAGATTTAAATAATAAAGATTTTATTTCAAACTGAATCATCATCGAGTAAATCTGCTCCTCTACAGGAGCCGAGCGGACCCTGACCCTCTTCAACATCGACAGAGACTCGGTGGACCGGTTCCTGGACCTCCATCATGACGACCGTGTTTTATCCGCCGTCATCTCCTCGGACTGCAGACTGCTCGCCTCCGGAGCCGCCGACCAGCTGATTCGAGTACGCAGTACCCGCCGTAAACACAGGGGGCGTGGACCATCGTCTGAACCTTCTGTCCTGGTCTCAGGGGTCCGGGGGGGGGGGGTCCATTTCTCTGCTGGTTCTGGTTTTTGATGGACTCTGTTTTTCCGCAGGTCTGGTCCGTGACCACCGGCGCCCTGTTGGACTCTCTGTACGGTTCCGACGCTCCGGTCACGTCCCTGTTTTTGCAGAACGGCCTCGTGGTTTCAGCCTCGGCGTCTGCGGCCGCCGTCAACCTGTGGAGTCTGAAATACGACGAACGCCACAGACCCCCCGCCCACATCCCTGCGGGCTGCGCCCACGTCGCCCTCGCCAGAGACACGGATCGAGTTTTCTACGTCAGACAGCAGAGTCAGACGGAGGTCATCAGCTGGAACAACCTCACAGGTCAGAGCGCCCGCACCATTTCACCTTTAAACACCATTTCCTCTGACTCCACCCCTGCGCCTCTCTAAGCTCTGACTCCGCCCCCTGTGTTTCTCTAAGCCCTGACTCCGCCCCCTGTGCCTCTCTAAACTCCGACTCCGCCCCCTGTGCCTCTCTAAGCTCTGACTCCGCCCCCTGTGCCTCTCTAAGCTCTGACTCCGCCCCATGTGCCTCTCTAAGCTCTGACTCCGCCCCCCGTGCCTCTCTAAGCTCTGACTCCGCCCCTATGCCTCTCTAAGCCCTGACTCCGCCCCCTGTGCCTCTCTAAGCTCTGACTCCGCCCCCTGTGTTTCTCTTAACTCCGACTCCGCCCCCTGCGCTTCTCTAAGCCCTGACTCCGCCCCCTGCGCCTCTCTAAGCTCTGACTCCGCCCCCTGTGTTTCTCTAAGCTCTGACTCCGCCCCCTGCGCCTCTCTAAGCTCGGACTCCGCCCCCTGTGCCTCTCTAAGCTCGGACTCCGCCCCCTGTGTTTCTGTCAGCTCTGACTCCGCCCCCTGCGCCCCTCTGCAGGTTCTCTGTCGGAGCGGTACGCCGTCTCCGCCCAGGTCTGCTGTCTGGCGGTGGCTCAGCACAAACGGCTGCTGTTCTGCGGTCTGGTCACCGGCACCGTCCTCATCTACCCGTTAGCCCTCCCCCAGGAGACGCTCTGCATCCCGCCCCCGCCGAGCCTCAGCCGGGTGCTCTGCCTCGCCGTCGACGCCAAAGAGAAGCACATGGCGGTGGCCTACGAGGACTCGGTGTGTC